ACCAGGAGAGCCCTGCAGAGCCCCCACACAGCCCCAGGCACACGTGGGGTGCAGACAGAGCTCTGGACCAGCACACTGCAGGACACCAGCAACACTGACAGCAGCTGCTCTGGCCAACCCTGCTCACCCTGGTGTGACTCCTCAGTACTAACACAGGAACTGCAGCTCCACACAGAACTGATGTCTCACAGACAGCACCAGGAGAGACAAAACCCTCCCAGCCATTCACCTCACACACACACTGGGAGCTCTGACTGCTTTCTGATAGCACACATCAGCTGAGATCCCTAATCCTGACACTACCAGCTCTCCAAACATATCCCACACGTTGCAATTATCCCTCTAACTACATAATTAATGAGTTGAAAATATAAAAACCCGGCCACGCCATGTACCAACAACCTTGCTGGGAAATAATCAGCTTCAGCAGCAAAAATGGGATCCACATCCATCAATCCCAGCAAGAGAAACAAAAAGCCAATCAAGGAGTTGGAAGTCTTGCTGTTCACACACGTTTTGTGCTGCTCTCAAGCACAAAAACGTGTTCCAAAGGCCATGGCACCAGAAGGATCTTTGTTCCCAAGGTGCCAGCAAATCCCCAGCCTCCTTCAGCAAAGTAAAGATACACCAATTGGATAAAACCCCCGATGAAAGGACAAAAGTGCAGGAAAAAACAAAGATGAACTGAGAAAACGGAACAACAACTTTCTCCAAATCCTTTTTTGGGAACTCCCAGCCATCACAAGTCCTTAAAGAAGTCACTCCCTGTCCTGGCACACAGGAACCAGCTGCCCATGTACAACCACCTAAATCCTGGCTGCAATTTTCAAGGTGACCAAGAAACCAATTTCTCATCTTCTCTGTGATGGTGGCACCCAAGGGAGTCAGCACTCAGGGAGCTGCCTGTCACAGCCCTGCTGTAAGGCACTGCCACCCTGCAGCAGATGGAAAAGGTATCCAGTGCTGCTGGTGCCTCAGGATACTCCCAAGTTAACACATTCGCAGTCAATGAACTTGGCTGCAAAGCAGTGACATTTAAAGTCTGATTTTGTACATGGGAACAGGCAGTTGTCTGTATGGAACAGAATTACACTTTGGGAGTGTGCCTTCAAGGGAAGGAGCAACTCTACACTCAGAGTCCATCTGGAGAGAAATTCTGGGAGAAATTCACTCACTTGGAATGAATTCTCTGAATTTCAGCTGTCTCCTTCATCCCCCCCAGCAAGGGGAGGGAATTCAGAGATGGATACAGCTGCTCTGCATTCACAGCTCGTCCTTCAGGAGACGATTGGTCACTTCTTGAAACTGTGGCAAAGCTGAACATGAACAGTAAAACAGAAAGCAGCAACTGGGGCAATTCAGGGAAGACTGAAATTCAACCCCAAAGGTGACAAGAGCAGCGTCCTTTGCTGCTGGAGGGTGGAGCTGGCACCTCACCCATGCCCATGGAAACTCTTCCTGCACAGCCCTCTGAGGAACAAGGAGAAAGCAACAATAAAAGCACCGGGCTGTGCACAGAAACCCTGCAGACAGCTCACACTTGATTTAAGTTGGAGTTTGGATAAAGTTGGATAAGGCAGCCTACACCCTGCTGTCACCAGTGAATGATAAACGATGTGGCAATTTCCTGTCAAAGCTGAATTATGTGCTCCTGGTCCTGTTCTTGCTGGTCTATTTTTGCCATCTAGTGGTAAAGAGAGAGTAGGGAAAAACCAGAGAGCTGAGACAGTGCATGAATGTTATCCATGCACATGTCAGCAGGACACACCACAGGAGCAGGGCTGTCTGCCTAAAGGTCCTCAGCGTTGATTAACTTTCAAAAAATTAACCCAACAAAACGTCTCAGTATTGGATTTCCCCCGGACAATAGCTATGGGTGGGGTTTGTTCAGATTTTTACCATGTTTACTGCAGTCAAGCTGCCAAATGCCACCAAAAACTAATCAGGAAAACAGCTCAATATCTGAGGGCAAGAGAAGCATTTTAATGGCCAGGCTATAATGAAAAACCCTGTTAGTAGGAAAAATGCACCCTGCAGGATTTCCAAGCATCACATCCATCTCTGCAGAACGGAAGGAACAGCTTTTTGTCATATCCAAATGGTGCAAATCCTCCATAATACAGGATAAATGACCAAGAAAGCTGCATAAGCCTATCATCAAATCCAACTAAATAAATAAAACCCACAATGCAAAGTGCTGTTCCAGTTTTCTCTGTTTTCCACTACTGCTGGTTCCCTCTGACACCAAAGAGAAGCTTCTGTCAATACAAAGCACCACACACTCAGTCTCTGACACAACAACATTTACTGACAACACAGACTGGCTCCCACAGGAAAATCAGAGGAATGGCACTGGAATCCCCCTCCCCCTGCCATTCCTGCCCTCCTCAGACAAGGTACAATGACAGTGACTTTGTTGCTTAAGCACAGAGGTCAGACAGGCACAGCACTGGGGGACATTCCCTCAGGGACAATCTGGTGTCACCTTGAGCAACTTCATTTCCAGCCCTTGGCAGGACAGTGCTCCAAGGAAGCAAAGGTTGAGGAAACAGGAAGACAGAAAAAGATGCCACAAAGGGAGGAGTTGAGGGGGGTTCAGGTAATGTATTAATTCAGTTCCAAGTGGGTTGTTCTTCACTAAGGTGTCAACACCCACTCCTTGGATAGGCTTTTAAAGCCTCCAGAGCATTTTCAGGTTTTTAGTTTCTTCACTAGCAAGGAAGCCTGGACCAGCTGAGCACTGGCCAGGTCAGCCCTGGGCGTGTGCCAAGCCCTCCTCAATCCAGGGCAGGACCAGACCCTTGCCTATACTTACTGAGGATTGACACTCCAGGTCATCTTCCTCATAGTCAGGGTTTACCTGATGGAACAGAATCACAGGCAGTCAAAACTCCAGCACAGCTGCAAGTGGGAAACAGCCTGAGCAGCACCAAAGCTCTGGTGGTCAGCAGGGCCCTGCACTGCTCCAGCACCACCAGGCATGCAGAGCACACTGCCCACACCCAGCGTGGCTCACCAGGTAAATAACCAAATAAATAACCTGCAAACATGCAGGGAGATTGATCTCATTCAGGAGAATCACTACAGGAGCAAGAGTAGAGACTTAACCCGTTTATGTTTTCTTTTTGTTGTTTAAATTCCAAGTGGAATGTCCAACTAGAAATTACTGGCTTGGAGAAATCTTTTGGAACAAACATGATTTTAACCAGGGATCAGGTGAGCAATCTCCTCTGGGATATTCTTGCATGATCAAAGAGAATGTTTTTGTTTTGGCTGATTAGAAAACCCAAGATTTACTAGAAAAGCTCTGCACTGGATCACTACTGAAAAGGATTTGCAGTGTGCACGTGACAAAATGCTTCTGGTTTTCCAATCTACTTATCAGAGGAATATAAAATGGGGTATTTAATCTGGACTTTTCTCTATCTGCAGTTCTTACAGACTGGTCTGAAGTCAGTGTTTTCATTTTATACTCAGTTCTACGATTCTGCTCAAAAATCAAGTGATTCAAGAGGAATTACCAACACTTGAATTCATTTTCCCCCAAAGGCTTTCAGTCATTTACCATTTATTCAGCAGTTAATAAAGTCACATTGATTCCAGTGCCCACATGACAGGATACTATTTAGTGCCTATTCTTTGCAGCAGAAGTTCTCGACTCTAGAATTCATACAAAAAGTGTAATCAGCTCATGACTACCCCAAACCACGGTGTTCTTTCAGCTCTTTCATCTCATTCCCTACGTTTAGCATCTATTTCTGTATTAATCCAAATGACCACTCTCCTCCCCTCCCCGTGTCCAGTTTTAGGGTGGGAAATGACAGATTTTGAGAAGGTGCCAAAGGAGGAGAACACAGTGCAAGGCAGGCAGAGGTGCCAGCCCAGCCCCACGTACCTCTGCTGCCAGGTAGTGCCCCGTGGCCAGGTGCTTGAACCTGAAGAGGCTGTTCCAGTAGCCAGCTCCCCCCCGGCAGGGATCGTGCTGCACCACCTGCAAGGACAGGAACACACCTGGAATGCAGCACAGACCCCCCCAGACCAGCAGGATCTGCCTCAGCTCATGGGCAGGGAAGAGCAAACACAACCAGGGGCTGAGAAAAGACAAAGCCAGCTTTTCTCTGTGACCAGGAGTGTGCAAGGAATGCTCTGAGCTGGCTGGGAATAGTTCACTGCAGTTTATGAATGAATGAATGAATGAATGAATGAATGAATTGAAGAAGGTGCTCTCTATGGGCATGTGTTGCCAGGTCTTGAAACAAAGGCAACAAATCCATTACCCTATGGCTGTAATTATATTTTTGACTGTTTAACATGAATGAGGGAAGACACTTGGAAATATTTCAAATGCAACAATGCTGTATGACGAAATTAATATTTATATTTACTGATAAAGTGGGGCAAGCAGAGCCTCCAACACCTGTAACCCCATACTGGCTGCTCTGTGGGCACACCACTTGATTCCTAAAGAAAACTCAACACAGCTGACCTGTACCTTTCAGGGAAGCTCCCTCACCTGTGCCAGGTAACTGCACACACATGGACAGTTACCACAGACTGATAATGTGCCAAAGTAATGCTAATTACAGGCAGACTTTCATTTGAAATACAGAAGCTGAATGTCACAGCAGATACTTCTGGAAAAGGAATATAAAAACACCTATCCATCATTACAATTTATTTTTTGATTCTTATATGCAGTTCATAATTTAATCATATTTAAGATCATAAACCAATGCTAATAATACCAACAGACTGAGGCTATTTTCAGAAGCCAGTGATGGCCAAGGTGTTAGTCACTCTGTTTAAAAGCCAAGTGAATTAAAAAAGCCAGTTCAGGCAGACTGAAGGGGTTGCAGCCTCCTATCAAATGAGGATATACATAATCACATTATTCCACACCAAAAATAGAGCCTTCAGTACACTCAGCAGGACAGTGGAAATTATAAGCTGTTGTTAAACTTCAGTGACTGGTAAGAAAATTACTTCATTGATGTTTCTCTGTGCCCTTTTCCTGAACTGTAAAGCACCTGAAGTGAAGAGCTGTGTGCTGCACCACCAAGGAGCAGAGCTCCACTGTGACTGTGCTCAGAAAGCACAGCAAGGGGAGGAATTTTCATTTCAACTTGCAACACCAGGAAAATTTTACTTAAAACGAGAAATGCAGCTAGAGTGTTTATAAACAGAAGGAGCAATTGTTCCTACAAGCCAAGCCCAGGGCTCAGCCCTTACCTCCACCTCCCACAGGGCTTTGGAGCTGGTGGCAGACGTGGCTGACTGCCTGCCCGTGGTCCTGAGGAACACGTGCTGCTTCTTCCTGTGCTCATCACACGTCAGGAACTTCTCCTGCTCTGCGTGGAACAGCCTCACCACGTCCCCCTGCCAAAGGCAGGCAGCAGGGTCAGCAGGGACAGGGGACAGCAGGGACAGCAGGGACAGGGGACAGCAGGGACAGGGGACAGCAGAGCCCCAGCTGCACACAGGCACAGCTCTGCCTCTCACCCCTTTGAGGATGTCGTCCTTGTTGTCGCTCCATTTCATGAAGAGCACGATTTTCCAGCTGGTGTTGCAGTTCACTGAGTTGACCTAGGAGGAGAATTGAGACCATCAGTCCCACTGTCCTGTCCCTGCACAAGGTCCTGCCATGAGCCACTCTCTTATTTTTTTAGACCATCTTCAGCAGAACACTGCAGGCCTGGCTGCATTGCTCTGGAGAAGCAAAGTCCTTTCAGTATCTGCTCCAGAACAAGGAATTTCAGAGCTGACTCGCTTGGAAGCCACTTGTTACACATCTCTGCTGGTAGATTTAATTTCCTTCACCATGACTAGTATGGGGAACATCACTGTGCCACAAACCCCTGGTTTTGAAGGAATAACTTGTTTTTAGCCAGTCATGCAAAAGAGATGAAACTCAAACCTCTGCCAGCACCCAAGAGAAAGCAGAGCTCCAAGACTTTTAAGTCACTGATTACCAGGATAACCAATCCTAAGCCATGGGTACCAACCAACTTGCAGAATTCTAAACCATGTCCAAATAGCTAAGCTGAAGCACAGAGAGGTTTGTACAGCTGTGCCAAAGCCCCCTTACCTCATTGCATCCCGGGTTATCCACAAGCTGATGGCTACTGGCATGGAGAGGCTGGCCAGCATTGACAGGATTCAGGACTACTTTGTCTCCAATGACAACCTGCAGAGAAGTGCAGCATCAGACAAATTTGCACCCTGAGAAAACTTCCTCTTCCTTTTTTCTTTTTTTTTTTTCTAATGGGAGCAATGGGAGGAAATCACCTTTTTGCAGTCTGGAGGGATACCAGTATGAGTATTCCACCAGAATTCTGTTTGCTTCAGAATTTAGTTTACCAAACTCAGTCACTGAGGCAAAAACCCCTATGCTACTGCACTCAGAGCCTTGCAGAAGCAGCAGACTGAGCTCTGGTACAGAACATTTATCCTGGGGCTACAGGATAAATGATGGCTGATTGATAAATTCACTGTGTTTAGGTGCCAAATACACCTGGCCTGAACCCCAGAGCACACTGAAGCTTATGACCCCCTAGTTTCAGGAAGATTCTATATCCAAGTGACTCAGATGTTGCAAAAGAGGGGATTAAAGTGGCATTTAAAGATTTCCCATCAACAGGAGCATTTCACTTCCTCATTACCTCACTCCTCATATCCCAAGTGATGACGAATTTTGATTCTAAGCTGACAACACTGAAAACCAAGATGCTAATTATTCCTTCCAAACCTCCTGAAGGAGCTCAACACTTCCTACCATTTTGAATTGAGCAGGAATTGTGCAAGGCCAGCCTAATTAGGTCCCTTATTCCCTCCAATGTTAGATCATTCCCCGCTTCCAAAATACAAGTTACCATAGCAATTCTCCTCCCCCTCATGACAGCATAGCAAAAAAGGTTGTTCCTGCATCATCATCACGCACTGGGAGATGTGTGCATTGCATTCAATGCAAGACAGGGCTCCCAAATGCATCCCAAAGGGATGTGTGAGGACGCTGCTCCCAGCACTTACACTGTCCCCGATGGAGCGCAGTTTGTAGAAGGGCTGGATGTAGAACCAGGAGCCTTCATTTCCAGCTTCATCCAACGTCACCCTCATTGCATTCTTCTCTAGCAGAGCTGGAAGCCTCTTATTTACTGTTAAGTATTTGTTACTTTTTAAGTGAAGCAGCTAGAATAAGAATCAGAGTTCAGTTCTAAGAATGCTCCTCTTCCTCCCCTCAATAACCCGAGCATGCATGAGACAACTGCAATGCTACACAGGACTGCAAACTTGTGTACAAATTGTGTACAAATTGTGAATTGTGTACAAATACTGATGGATTCAGGCACAATCCCACTCACACTCAGAGACACAGAACAAAACACCTTCAGTTTATCCAACTGTCCCTTGCCCAGCTAGGACAAACACATGAGATGCCCTCATCACTTAGAACAATCTGTTAAAAAAAAAACCCAGGACCAAAACTTGTGAAATGTTGGGGACTAAGTGGCTTTTTAAGAGGCAAAGCTGCTCTCCTCTTGCTTTGCTTGGTCTCATCTAACAGAAAATTTAACTATTTCTATTGATTCTCCTTCTCTGTGTCAGTTTATGATTTAAGTGCCAGCATTCCACTGTGAGATATTTGGTGTTGTGCATGTGCCACCTTCCAACAACTCTAATGAGGGCTCTAACAAATATTTCTGAAGAAAACAATCAATGGTGACCTCAAAACCAAGCACAATTAACCCATAATAACAAACTGACCTCATCACAGATACAACACCCAGGCCCTGCTTCCCAGGATCCCCCTTCAGAGATGGGGAAACCTGGCAAAACTACAGAGTCCTGCCCATGAACTCCAGAAATCTAAAGTCCCACTGAGCAGGGAATTTCCAACTAAATCCTGTACAGCTTGCACAGATGTTCACAGCCTCACCTGGATGACATTCCCATACTGGATGACTGTTCCCAGCAGTTTTCTGTTTTCTGTTTCGTTCTGTTTCTTTTCCAAATCCGCTGCATGCTGAAATCAAAGGAGAACGTTTCAATTGCTGAGCGGTTTACAAAACGAGGTTTTGTGAAACTCTCTTTTCCTCGAGATTATTTCAAAGGACTGGAAAAACAGTGAGCAATCTGAAAGAGCCTAATTTCCTCTTTCTCCATTTTCCAAGAGCATAATTTCCAATTCCCTTTTTCAACTGTTTGGGGAGATAGACCCTGTAATTTGGATACAATTGGACAAAATTCTGGCATACAACATGAGCTGAAAAACTCAGACAAGACAGAAGGCAGATACCTGGGGGGGAAAGGTGAAAAAGGGATGGGTAACAATTCCAGCCAGGAATTTTATTTTCCTTTTTACTGACTTCTACACAAACTGAATGAAAGAACCTCAACTTTATTTCTTTATTTTCCTTTGCCAGTACAGGCTCCAGCTGCCCTCCTGGCTGTGTTTTTCTGGAGACTCCAATGCACCAATGCCCACTGCAGCCCTGGATTTGAGAGTTCCCACTCTCTACATCTGGGCTCATGCTCCCTGAGGTGATGGATCCTCTGTGCCACAGCTGAGCATTCCTGCACCACAGTGACAGGGAAAAAGGGGAAACCCTGCAAAACTGAATTATTATAAGGACACAAAGACCTAATTAATAATTAACAATGAGCCTCTTGCCATTCTTGCTTTAAAAGTGAGCTATTGACCCAGGCTGCTTTTAAACAACTCCATTTGGTGAAGAAATTCTCCTTCACTTTACAGGAAAGATGATATTCTGAATTAAAAACATAAATCTGTATTTGCTTTAACTGTTGTCTGGAGGTGGAGAGCAATTTAAAATTGAACTTTTTAGGAGGATTATGGTTTGGTTCTCAGGTCTCAAGGACTGTGGTGGGTCCAGGTTTCCCTTGGAGAAGAAAAGTGCCCAGAGCTCCTCAATAGAGTGAGGTGAAGTTCCAGCAGCTACTTGCACACTGTTAGAAAATTTAACCAGCTCCAGCTCACTCAAAATGTGCTATTCTTAGATGCTGTGCTAGGTATGAAAACTGGCTTCTTACTGCAGGAGAATCTGAGAAACAGTTGCTCTTTCAAATTCAAAATTTTATTCAGTCATGCAATGCAACACAATTTTTTGTGTATTAGTAAAATACAACTTTTTTGCTTGATTTCCAATTACTTTGTCAAGAAAAGATTTCTTCAAGACACCAGAGTCCTCCCAAATTACAGCAAACACAGCCAGGACTGCCCTGCCACACTAGGTGCTACATTTATTATAAACACAGAAAACAATTTTTTTCCTGTGAATGTACAACTAAGATTTAGGATTTATGATTTAGGACCTGACAGGCACTCCAGGAGAACCACTTTTCTGGCCACTAGATGTCAGCTCCTCAAGCAGCTCGGATGCTGTGACCACAGAGAGACAAGTGTCCCAGATTTTAAATCCCTTAAATGGCATTAACTTAAAATAACCTGACCTCAGCACGGAGCGCTCCGTGGCAGACAATAAATTCCACCAGCAGACAAACAGAAGCCAAAAAAGGCAAGTGATGATGATGAACACATCTTGCATCATCAGCTGCGTTGGAAATGCTCTGATAAAGAAACCTCGTGCTGGGCAGAGCTCAGAGCTGGGAGCACAGGCACAGGGTGTGGAGCAAGTGGCAAAGGTGACCCATGGACACTCAGGAGTGGCAGGAAGAAGTTCTGAGATCAGTGATGTCCATGGGACACGATTATTTTGTCACTGCAGACCTGACTGGTCCCATCAGATTCCATGTCCAAGTGATGCAGATTAAATAATCCCCAATAAAATTGCAAAGCACTCAAATCCTTTCTCCAAATCAAGCAGGTCTTGGTGGGACATTTCTGTGCAAACATAACTGGGCTCAGGCTAATCCTGGAAAAATCTCATCCTGCAAGAATCTCATGCTGCATTTCCAGGACCCTGACACAGAAGTGTCAGATGAGTAGGGACAGGTCCCAAACACCTGCACTGGGATGTACTCCACATGAGAATGTAATCCAGGGCAATTCCAAAGGCTTTTTCTTTTACACGTTGCAGTGTTTAGACTATTTTCTGTTAAAACCCATCAACTCTCCCTGTTCCTGATACACCCAAGCACCAACCCCAGCACCCCCATCACTCCAAACTTGCTGCCACAGCCTACTCCCCTCATCAACATGAGAAACACGGCCCAGGTGAGGCAGCTTTGTGCTACCAAAATAGCTTTGTCCCTGCCAAGCTGATACTTTTGGGTTATAAATACATTTCTTGAAGCAGAAGGAGTCCACCAGTGGGTCTTTGTGAAGTGCAGGAGCGAGGCAGCCATATGGCAATCAGCAAGTGACACTCTCCTACGGGGCCATTTCATATTCCAGGCTACAATGAGCTTAATATAGGCTTAAAGAACCTAAAAATATTCAGAATTGTAATTTTGACATGAAGTACTCCAGCTATGTAATTTTAACATAAACACTGAGTTTATTTAACTCTAAAGTCAACAGATGGTATTTAAGTTAAGTTGGCTTTTTTTTATATAGGAGCTCTAAAAACAGCAATCAACTGCTTTACTGAGTTTTCAGCTGCTGAATGTCAACATTTTACCCAGAAAATATTAAATACTGCACGCTAATACGGAAGGAGAGGCTGTCTGGCCTCATAATTACTCATAATTACCCATCAACCTTCCCATGTATCAACTGCAGTGATGTTTGTTTGAGCAGTCCCAATAGATGGATCAGAGCAGCAGCTCCTGATTTCCCACACTGAGATGCAGTGCCTGAGACTGCTCTGTGCAATTGTTTCAAGGGTCCCTTTTTTATGCTTTTAATGCCCAAAATGCTCCCCTGGAGCACCATTATCTCTTCTACAGGTTAAAGACAAGAGCTGCAGTGTCATGGACACAGTGCAGGGGGGCACAGAGCTTGAGCAGGAACAGGAGGGGGTTCTGTCCATTTTCTGTGACACAGACAGCACCCAGGGAATGGCTGGAGCTGGGCCAGGGGAGGTTGGGGTTGGATTTTAGGGAAAGGATCTTCCCCCAGAGGGTGCTGGGCACTGCCCAGGCTCCCCAGGGAATGGGCACAGAGGCTGCCAGAGCATTGGACAACACTCCTGGGGACAGGGTGGGATTGCTGGGGTGTCTGTGCAGGGCTGGCAGCTGGGATGATCCCTGTGGGTCCCCCCCAACTCAGCTTATTCCGTGATTTTGTCATAAACCAGAGGATTGAAGACTTGGAGCGAACGTCTCCGAAGGAATCTTGCACGCTGATTTATTTCTCTGTCCACTCGGGGTCTCCTCGTCAACTGTGCCAAGGAAATCCTCATTTCAAGCAGCTGCTGGGTGTGATGCTGAGGGTGAGGAGGGGGATACTCACGTGCAGTTTATTGAGCAGCACTGCATCCGTGGTGCTGTTGGCTCCTGGCTTTGCTGCCTTCCAGAATTGCTTCTGCGCCGAGTAGCGGTTCATGGGACACAGCTTGAACAGGCAATCTAGAAAAGCATGGAACAAACACAGGCATGGCTACAGGCACTCAGAATTAGCTGGATCCTTGCTGCTAACGCTCTCCAAGTATTCCAGCGGCAAGGAAAGCTTTATAAACAAATTCCAAAAAGCTCTTGATCAGACAAATGCTTTTCTGAGCAACAGGAATGCTGCCCCAATGAATGATAAAAACTAACTGCTGCTGCCAACATCTGATGCAAGACCAGAAAATTTATAACTTGTCCCAGTCAAAAACAGTACCAGACTAAAATGGGAACACATTCCAGTGCTTTCCCAGGCACAGACTTGGTTTCTGCACTTTCAGCTTGAAGTTTTTGTACTTCAGCAGGTAAACTCTGTCAGGTTGGGGGGGGGGTTTGCTTTGGATTTTTTCACTGCTGCTGTTGTCAGTTTAGTTTTTAAATCAAATCCCTTCTATTGCTAGGGAAAACTGGGCAAAAAAAAAAAAATAAACTCCTCACCTAATGAAGTGACAACAGCACAAAATACTCTCAAACAAGAGCTTGCACAGGCACAGACATTCAAGGCATGGCTTGAGGTAACATCAAACCCCTCAGGGTGTCAGGTTCTATACCCAGTGCAGCAACACAGTTTATTTAACATTCTGCCTGGCAAAAGTCAGGAATCACAGCTCATTAGTCCTATTAGAAATACATTTCTGTATTAGAGATGCTAACTTATCAGTAATAAACCCACACGAGCTGCAGTGACTGTTTTTCCTCCTGTCGTCGCTAAGCAACAGAACACGCAAAAAAATAAATTCAGCTATTCAAAGGCAGCGCCTAAAGTAGCAGCTCAGAAGTTCAAACAAAGTGCCAGAAGAGGCAGGAGGCTGTTCCAGCCTCTCTGGCAGCACAGGGGATGGAAGGTTGCAGGCTCCTGGTTCACACAGCCTTTCTCCAGGCTCCTGGTGCATCCCTACGGCCAAGCACCGTGATTTGGGAAGCAGCAAGGTGAGGAGAAACCCACCTGGGGTCGCTCCTCAGTGCCTGAAAAGCAGAGCTGCTTGTTCATGGAGACACATCAACCAGAAAGGGAGAAACCCCATGATGGAGACAGCTCATGGCAGCTCTGCCAGAGGATGAAGTTGCCGAAGGTGCTGAGACAGAGCTTGGTGATTTCACCTCTGGATGCTGTTTGAGATGGACAGCATCACTCTTCTCATGCCTTTCCTCCAATCCAGCCCCAGAGCACACCAGGCAACGCCCTGAAGGTGTTCACAGAAGGGCAAAGAATCCCAGGATGGTTTGGGTGGGAAGGAGCTCAGAGATGATCCCATTCCATCCTGGCTGAGCAGCCCAGGACCCCCAGAGCCGATGCCAAGGCAGGAGCTGGGTATGGCACTGGGGCCCTTGGGCAGTGACACTGGGGAAGGACAGAGCTCAGGGACACAGTTCAGAGGGAGGCTGAGCTGCATCTCTGCAGGAACTCAGCTCCACTTTCACTCTCCCTGCCAGCCTGGGACTGCTGAACCTCCAGGAAAAGTGCAAACCACACTTCCCAGGTTTGTACTCTTCACCACTTTTTTCATTTCCATCGGGATGATTCACAGAGATTGACAGCACAGCAGAGATTCAAAGAGCCACTGCGGGCTGGCACTCCGAGCTAAGACTCTGCATTGTAAGCAACACACCAGTTATAAAATTTGCTATTTTTGCTTAAACCATCAGTTCACACAATGACAGCAATTAACACACAGAACTGCAGAGAAGAATTAATTGTAGGCTAGATTTAGTCACAGTGTGCCTCTTTCCATCCTTTTCAGTAAAGAAAGTTGTCAAGTTAGGCTTAACTTCCAAATTGTTAACTGCAAGTAACCCCCTCTTCCTGCCTGGAGCACCCAGAGAGGGCTACAAGAGTCTGACCTTGTCCAGTGCAAGAAGGCAAAGCAGAACATGTTTTCCTTAGGTTTTCTCCCTAGTAACGAAGCTACAGATCTGAAACAAACAATGAAAAGCACCCAATATGTTTTTTTTCTAGTATTTGTTCTACGAAATCTATTTCTGAAGTGGTTGAGAAATTCAACTTTGCCTTATTCACCTTCATATGGCCACCAAATGCATTTCACCACAGGTCAAACTACATGAACTTTATGGCCAGATGACTTTCAGATCTGCAGACCCCCACTGCCTTGGATGTTTACAAAGTCAAGGATGTGCTGGCTGAGTACCATCGTGGTCATTGATCTGTAACCCACAGTCCTGATGACTGTGCAAGATAAGCCCATGCTTGTCAGACACCATCCTGATGGAATTTAGGCCTCTTTCTGCAACAGGAGCCAAAAATCCAAAGCCAAAAATTAAAAGTGAAGGCAACCATCAGCTCCCTGCTCCACTCAGTGATTCGAGCAGCTTCAGCCACATAGGAAAGGTGATAAATAAAGCAATTACTGCACAGTAACGACATCTTTTTATAGACTGTTTGTTGCATATTAACCAGGAAGGAATGCATTTTCCTTTCAGATCCTCATGATATACAGTGAAAAATGGCAGAATTGCACAATGAAGAAGTATAAAAATAAAATACAACGTCACTGGTGATGAAATGATGACACATCAAGCCTGAACACCCAACGAAGGTCCTGCAGGAACAAGGGATTGCATAATCCTACACTACCCCACCAGGATGATGAATGCTACATGGGCACATATCAAATGTACATTTCTGTGCTCCCCAGCTAAATCCTGTTCTTCCATCAGAGATTTCTCTGCATGGAATGAAGGGAGGCTGCACCTGCACCACGTGAGAGATGAAAGCTCTCACTGGTGGGACATTGACAGCCCACATGGGCCTCTGCCTCCTGCAGCTCCCCAAAATATCCCAGCCAGGATTGGATACCCTCTGCATGCACCAGCAAAGGCAAGGATCCTGGGAAGGCTGAAAACCCCCGTGTTCCAAAGTATTTTGGGGCTCAAGGAAGAGGGAAACTTGCCAGCAGCATTATGCCAGCTGCCAATTCCTTCTTCTCCATTTGCTCTTCTCCTTCTACTTTCCCTTCTTGACTAGGCTGTGCTCCATCCCAACCCAGCACAGATTCCAAACTTCCAACCTTTCCCTCCAGTCCAAGCCCAAGCAGCCACACCTCAAGTGCCCAATTTTTGCTCTCAAAGCACAATGGCAAACTGGACAAAGACTTTTTCTTACAACAGACTCCACCATGTGGGAATTTAAATCACGTTTAGGTAATATATTAATAAGATTATTTGAAAATATAATGCAAGATTTGCCTAAAATTGCAAATACCAAGATTAGAAAGGCTGAAATGATATGGAGAAGAGAGTTGAGTATTTCAGAAGCCACCCAAGACATCATCACCTTCTTTCATACAAAACTCTCTAGAAATATTCAAGTCCAACATTCCCATGCAATTCCAGACTGCCCTTCAGAGGCTTTTCCCCCTGTTTTGGGCATTAACTGTTGCCATTATTGTCAATTCTATGAAGACAGCTCAGAAAGCTCCTGAACAGGCACTGCTGACACCCAAAGCTCCAGCAGACAACGTCAAACACCTTCCAGAGAATGGCAAAGATCAATGGAATCATGGAATGTTCTGGACTGGAAGAGACCTTAAAGCCACCCAGTGTCACCCCAGCCATGGCAGGGACACCTCCCACTGTCCCAAACCCCAATGTCCAACCTGGCCTTGGGCACTGCCAGGGATCCAGGGGCAGCCACAGCTGCTCTGGGCACCCATCAAAGCCAGGAATTCCTTCCCAAAATCCCATCCAGCCCTGCCCTCTGGCACTGGCAACCCTTTCCCCTTGTCCTGCCCCTCCAGACCCTGGTAATCTCTCCCCTATTATTTTTTGTAGCTCCTTCAGGTGCCATCGTGGCTGCTGCCAGACTCAGCTCAGTTTTGGGGATCTCAGCCCCTTCTCCAGCACACTCATTCCAGAAAGATCTGGAAGCAGCTTCAGCTCCAGCCAGGCTGGTTGTGCAATCCACCACTCATTTTTTCCAATTCTCCACTGCCTATTTTAAGCACTTAGAAGGTCCTCACCAACTTTTCTGCAGTTGGAGAGAGCAGGAATCAAATACTTCGTTGGCAACAAAAAGGTGTGCCGTGTTATTTCGGGTTTTAAACCCAGACTCTCCAAAATGTCAACTGGAGAAAGGTAAGAACCAAGAGAAATTACTCCCCCTCACAAAAAACATACTTTAGGGTGCTTTCAAATGAGGGAAATCTTATAAAGATGAAGCTCTTTAAATAAGTCACTTACAAATCCACTGAATATTTAACACCAACACAGCTGTTTCTTCATTACTTGGAAAAAACCAAACACATTTTTGCACAGCAAAACTAAAATTAAAAGAAAACCAGCAATTCCCTGCCGAAATTTAGAATTTTCTCTTCAGACTTTTCTATACTTAGATACCTGATATTTTCCCAAGGCCCAAGGCCTGCTCACAGGAGAGAATAAACACACAGAGAGTATCTTTTTATTTTAAATACAAAAGAGTAGCAGCAATGAAGAAGTAACATCGCTGGCAATGATGTAAATAGAAGTTGTTGACTTTGTATTTACAAAATTGCACAGCTTTAATACACTCACAAGGATGGGAACACTCCACAGGATGAGGAGTTTATTTGAAGACAAAATGAAGACCTCTCTTGGGCTCAAATGCACTATTTTCACACAGGAGAATAATACAAAATGCACGTATTCAATCACAGACAAGTTTCACCTTTTCAGAAACCCTTGGATTACTCCATCATCTATTTCTATACTTGTTCCTTCTGAGATTTAAAATTAACAGATGACAGCCTAAGAGGTTCAAAGAATATAGAACAAAAGCAGCCACAGAAATGTGTTGATTATTAATCATTCCTGCATTTCCACGAAGAGGGAGAAAAAAAGAACCTGATCCTACTGAAATGACTCTTTGTGAGGAGAAGACATCCTTTCATTTTCAATTTGCAGTGACCAAGCTTTGCTGGGAGCACAGCAGCTCAGATCAGAGTTTTTGTGGTCCCCAAGGAGCTCCA